GGTTTTCTTCAGAGTTTGCTCTCTTGGCTCCAGTTTAAAATATCTACATGAAGTGCTGGGTAATATTATCCATCATCATATCTATGGAGATTCTCAGTCATCCAGATCATGGTTGTCCTGAAGATACTTTTTCAAGAGGCAACTGGACTTTCTTCTTTTTTCTTTGAAGACTTTTCTCATCCAAGAAGCTTTTTCTGCTCTGAGTGGATGGTGGGGAATGGAAGGATTTATATTCCTTTCAGACAGCTGGTCATTTGCATTCTTTTAGATAGTCGTAGAGGCCATTTGGAGGTTTATCTGTGTCCTTACGATCACTTGAGTAGTGCAAATAGGGGTGGAGCATTCTGGAACTGCTGAAAGCACCATGTTGTAGACTGGAGATAGATGATGTCATGCATATCTCTTTCCCTCTGTTGAGAGAGGGCTGTTCAATTTGAATTTTGAATCAATTTAAAGTGGTTGTTTTGTTTCACCAATGTACAGAGCTGCACAATGTGGTATATGAAGTACAATGCAGTGAGACATGTGCAGATCTGTATATTGGGGAAACAAAACAACCACTTTTTAAACTCATGGCACAACATAGGAGAACAAACCCACCAGGACAAGATTCAGCAGACCATCCACATTTAAAAGACAGAGACCTCTTTTGAAGACAGCAAAGTCCACATTTTGAACAGAGAGGACCGCTGGTTTGAAAGAGGGGTTAAAGAGACCATCTATGACAACATTGAACAGAGGGGTAGGGATAAACTTTATGGGTATTTAACTAACTTCTGGCAAGGGAACAATTGCTTGCTGTATAAATTTTAAAACTTGTTAATCCTGATCAAACCAGAGTTTCTTGGCAATGTAGCTAGGCCTTCACTAGCATGTACGGAAGATATTAATTATGGACAAATTTGGATGTTTTTTAATATTATTCTATGTAATCTGTCCAGCAAATACTATTTATAGGTCATATTAATATTTTTTCTTAAATATGACTTTATGTAATATTTCTTTTATGCAAAGCTCCTTAGCTTCTGCAGTATCATGGTCTTAAATGTTTTCAAACGTAGACCTCAATATTCCGGGAATACTTGTTTATTTTTTCTAGTTATGATGTTATTTTCTTCTGAACCCATTAAGAATATTAGACTACCTTACTCTAATACATAAGGTTTCCTTCTTCCAGAAATATTAACATTTTTCCCCCAGAGAAAACTGAACATTGGCATTTATCTTTTCCTCCCAGTTAAATTATGTAATTCTTTCCTCTGTGCCTTTTCAGATCAGCCAAGTTTTATTTTGTGGTTAGAAGGTATTAGAGTAGTGAAATAAGAGAAGAAGACAATTAAAATATTTACATTTTTTCCTAATTCATGCTATGTAGTCAGAAACATTGGCCGATCCCTCTTGTAACTCTTATTAATGCCTCAAATAATTTATGGTTAGAAAATTCTTGGATACAGTATTAAGAACAAAAAAATCCTGCTTTTTCTCTAAAGAACAAATTGGTATTTTAAAAAACAAAACAAAACAAAAATCCTCTTGCATTGAAAAATTGTAGAAATGCTAAATAAAGCTCCTAATTTTTAAGTTGTCATCATTTGATCCCTCTTATTCCTATTTTAGATGCTAGCCAAATAGGAATTAAACTAATTGAGGCTTTGATAAATTGTGAAGAATTTTATGAAGGAAAATATTGTTTTCCTTTAATAAAAAGCAATCTGGAACTTTTCAAATTGAGAATTAGTTGGCTCTATTAAATATAGATAAAGTTGGGATTTGGATTTGAATTTATTCACATCTTATGACATACTTAACTTTAAATCTGATACAGATAATTCTCAGTTAACTATTTGATTTGAAAGTTAAACAGTAATCTAGAATCCAGCAAGTTACTCAGATATCCATAGTAAGATACAGGTTCATAACTGCTTGTGTTGGTATTTGTTTAACTAATGGTAATGGGTTTTACTTGATTTCCCAAAGAGTGGTTTGGCAGATGGATCATAGGATTTATTGCCTTGGGAAATAAAAGAAAAACAATTAGCCAGCTTCACATGCATAAATGTTTAACTTTCAGAAACTTAAATATCATTTATTGCTTGTATGTTTAGGCTACAGAAAGTGAGATGGGAGATGTAGATTTAACTGGCCTCCCAGAAGCGCCTGTAGATTCTGAAGATGATGAAGAAGAAGATGAAGACATTGATAGAACATCTGATCCTCTGCTAGGGCGAGATGTTGTTCGAGAGTGTCTTGAAAAAGAACCTGCTGACAAAACAGATGATGATATTGGTGAGAAATAAAAATATTGCCTCCATAAATAAATATGTTGTATTGTTGTACAAGCTATTACAATTAATACATAGAGATGCAGTAATGAATTATCCAATTGGTAATCATTATAAAAGTTAAAGGATATCATGCTTGTAGCAATAGGCATCAGCCAACTAAAGAGACTGTAAACATACAACTGTGTAGGAAGGGAAAAAAAGTGGGATGAACCAAAGACTTAAGATATGTTTTGTTATTGTTAATAGTTTAGCTGAGATCTGAAAGTTGATTCTGGCCTGAGTCGCAGCAGAGTGGCTGAAGGGTTAGGGAGAAAACAGTGAAGTGTAGTGGTTGGATGATGTGGTAGAAAAGAGTTGTCCAAAATGTGTATTACAGAAGCTCCGGCAGTCTGCTTGGAGCTACCCCATTTGTTGATGGATCGTTGGATAGATAGATACCCTCAACTTGGGAGTGGAATGGCATGGGGAAAAAAATAAATTATGTAGGAGAAAGAGAGCAGGGAGAACAATGCACTCATGATAGGACCCTGAAGGTATGGTGGGACTCATGCCTAAGGAAAGTGACTTGAGGGTTTGAGACCAATTCTACATTCTAGTCTCTTGTATGTAGTCCCAAGATCTGGTTCCTGAAGATTTAGGAGCTCTGGATTCTGACAGTTGCTATTTAACCTTAGCTTTCTTCCTAATAAAGTTCATCTCACTGATGACTTGATTATGGACCAAAGGCCTGGCATGTATCATTTAAACCTGATTGAGTATGGGAAGTGCTGTTTTCTCTCACAAATGTATCTTCCTAGATTTAGGGTTTTGCATCATCTGCAAGCGGATGAAATGTGGCTGTTGTCATTTAGGGGCCCTGGTGGGCTTTAGAGGTACTACCACAGACATAGCCAGATCTGGGACTCTCTGTTAATTAAACTGGGTTATAGGGATCACTTGGGACTGCTGCTTGCTTATCTTCCTCCCTACTCAAATTTCTCAATTTTTTGGCCAATTTCGGGATAGATTTCTCCAGGCTTTTGTTTATGGAGGATTTCTATCTGTCTTCTCCGGACCTCAGTCAGAGATGGCTTTGGAGTTCATGATCATCCTGGCAACTATGGTGGACTCACATTTTCTTGTATCTGGAGTTCTGAGTAATTATCCCCTATAGTAGGGAGATGGGTCGTATTCAATCATCCCACCACAATTGGGTTGTAGAAGGAACTTGGAAATTTTCCAAGGTTGTGACATACTATCCAGCTGAAATCCAGGTTGCTGCTTGAGATAGGCAAGTGACAAGGGCTGTGATTGGATCATGCTATGCAGAATCTCTGTGACTGTGGATCCTGTATAGCATTCTGTTTAATGGAAGTGCTGTGGGAGATGAAGGAATGGAAAGCACCCCTAGATGGACAAATTTATCTTGAGCACCAATTCAACCTGGAAGCTCTGCTCACTGTTGTCCACACTTTGATCACTTCCTGATCGGATTACTGCAACACTCAATACACAGGCCTGCCCTTAAATACGATCGTGAAGTTACAATTGGGCTTGGAATGCAGTGGCATCTGCAAATCTAGGCACTATGCCTGCATTATATGCCATTGCTTATAAGCTGCACTAGAACCCAGTTTCTTTCTAGATGAAGATTCATGATGCTGGTTTAAAGATAATTCTTTAAAGCCCTGAATGGTATAGGACCAGGTTATTTGTAAAATACCTCTCTCTAAGGGTATCTGTTCTGCCAGATAGGATAGAGTGGTCATGCTCCAGGACACTTCCATTAAATGTTGTCATCTGATGGGACTAGGAAATGAACCTTCTCTGTAGCTGTTTCTGTCCTATGAAACACCCTTCTTCAATGTTTCTGGCTTTCTGGAAAGCCTTAGAAAGTTGGCTTTTCTCCCCAAAGACTGACGGGGTAGTGTGCGATTAGAGCCTAGTAAATGTGAATGCTCAGTGGTGGAGGAATTTGTTTTGGACTGCTGAGAATTGTTTTTATGTTTTATTGTGTCCTTGTTTGCTGCTCAGTTTTATTGGATATTAGATGGGCGGCTGTGTAAGTCTTTTTAAATCAATACATACATGCATGCATGCATACAAATAAATGCTAATGTCAGAAAATGGTAGTTACAACTTTTTTTGCTTAATAGTAGGTCTTGTTTTTATGCATTTAATCTCTTCCTCCCTCTCTCCCTCAATGTAACCTGTAGTACATAATAACCTTTCCATATGATTAAAGTACATTTTCAATGTAAAAAGCCAGCATTGAATTCAAGTCAGTGAAGTTACCTATGTTAATTATCTTGAATTGATGGATGATACAGATAAAAATTTAGTCTTGTTTTGAAAATTAAATAACATTTGACAATGTACATGATAGTTTTACCTTTTAAAGTATATCATTTACATTTAACACGAAACTTTTGTTCCTCTAGAACAATTATTGGAATTTATGCATCAGCTTCCAGCATTTGCAAACATGACTATGTCAGTAAGAAGAGAACTTTGTTCAGTCATGATATTTGAAGTAGTAGAGCAAGCAGGAGCCATCATCCTTGAAGATGGGCAAGAAGTAAGTAGGGCATGTTGCCATAGAAATGTTACTGCATTATACATGAGATACATATATTTTTAAGTTTCTCTATTGAGCAAATAGGATGACCATTTGAATAATGTTTACTGAAACTTACAATACTTTGGCATTATTACATATATAATGAGAAGTTCTCAATGTTAGTATTCCCTAATGAGTCAGATTAGGTGGAGATATTCTTTTTTGGCTGACAAGCATATTAAAATATCCATGAGGATAGCAAAGCTATATACTCTTGGCATTTTTTTGTGGTGAATATTTAGATTCCATAGTTCTCAAATTCACAAATACTCTTATACCACTGTACAAGTAGACTCTATTAACATGTATTTGGATAATGTTGTTATACTTTTTAATTTTATGTACTTTATATTTTATGTATACTTACTCTGGAAAAAATAAATTCATATTTATAAACCTTATGTTTAGTTTCTCATATCCTTCTGCTATATATTTTCTACCTAACCACAATAATATGTCAATTATCCATTTGCAATTATCAGTGGGATTAGGTATCATACAAGAACAGGCTGTTTACCACAAGATAAGTTTTTGTAGAATGTGGTAATCAACAGAAATTCTTAAGTGTTCATTGATTTCTAATTGTTTTTGTGTAATAAAGGCAATGATCATTAACATAACTCTGAATTTAATATATTTATTGTTTCTTGAATTGTCATGTCACTGTTGCAGTATAAACTGGACTTGTATCAAATCTCATGTTTACCTGTGGAATGAGAATTTTTGATTCATAGCAAGATAACTGAGATTTCATTTTTTTTTTAAAATTTTAGCTTGATTCTTGGTATGTTATTTTAAATGGCACTGTGGAAATTAGCTATCCTGATGGGAAAACAGAAAGTCTTTGTATGGGAAATAGTTTTGGAATTACCCCATCTCTGGAAAAGCAACACATGAATGGTGTGGTTAGGACCAAAGTAGATGATTGCCAGGTAAGATAGATGATATAAGAGTAAAATACTTTAACTTTGTGAAGCTTGTTATAAACACTCATAATATAATATCCTTTAAAATAATCAAGAGTTTATCCAACTGTGACAGGCCTAATACCAGTCAAATTTCTGCTGCTTTCTTGTCCATTCCTAATTTTCTGTAACTAGAAATCCATTTACCTGATGCTGGATGTAGCACTTATTAGACAACCCACGACCCACTGCAAATACAACTTTTATAAGGATAGTTGAAATTTAAATTCCACGGGAGTCATGGGTCCAGAATTTGAAAACATTTTAAGTTAGCCCATTTAAGTTACATTGATTTAGAAAATTGTTCTTCTATATGTTCATTTTGGCTAATTGAAAGTTACAAACAGAAAGACAGGAGAGTTTTATAGTATAAATAGATTCTAGAAACATAACTTTCATTTATAATGTTTTTACTCATAACACTACTTTTTCAAGTAACAACTATTTATTATTTAATCTTTGGTTAATTGACAGCTGTTTTCCACTGAAATGTGAATAGGACCATTTTCTTTTTAAAAATCCAGTTCTCAATAAGGTCTGTTCTATTGAATGTATTATTTGTGATTGAACTTAACACATAGTTATCTTTAAGAAATAAACTGGAAATGACTTGATTTTTATTTATTGTATTAAAAGAATTTTTGGCAATAGATTTTTACATGATATTGCTGTTTTTTTAAAAAAATGTCCTTCTTGTTTTGGAACAGTTTGTATGTATAGCCCAGCAAGACTACTGGCGTATATTGAACCATGTTGAAAAAAATACACATAAAGTGGAGGAAGAAGGAGAAATTGTTATGGTGAAGGAGCATAGAGAATTAGACCGCAGTGGAACCAGAAAAGGACACATTGTCATTAAGGTAACCAAAAAAACGATATCTTACTAAGGATTCATAAATCTCCAGCTTTTATGAATATCATAGGATTGGTTTTCAGGATAAATCTTGTTTCTTATCATAAAGGATTATTAAAGAACTCAAAGAACTATATTACTGGATTTTATTTATTTAAAGGCTGCTAAACATTTAATAACTCTTGAGTTTAGAATTAAAAAAAATAAAAATAATACCGAAAGAAAAAGATATATAAGTGGCCTAAGACAGACATTTAAACAACAACAACAAAAATCACACAACAGGTGCTCCATCCACCACCTGTGTGAACAGTCAGTCTTTAATAGTTTCCCGAATATCATTAGAGTGGGAGCTATCCAAATTTCTTGGAGGATATTATTCTAGAGGCAGGTACACAATAGAGAAGGCACATTTCTTGATTTCCCCTACATGACACTGCTTGATTAATAGAACCCCTGATGCACTGTGCCACAATATCAGCAGTTTGCAGGAGATATGGTAGGTGGTTTATCAGATAGGTGGTTTATCAGGAGATATGGTAGGTGGTTTATCAGCTAAACCACCTGGCCCTATGCCATTAAGGGCTTTATAGAAGATAACCAGTCCCTTGAATTGTATGCATAAGCTTACAGTTAACCAGAGCAGCTTTATAGAGCAGTGGGGTCACATACGCATACTGAAGTATGCCCACCATTATCTGTACTCCTGCATTCTGGTCTAGCTTGAACTTCCTAGAAGTTTTCAAGAGAAGTCCCATAGAAAGTGCATTACAATGGTCCATGAGGTGACTATGATGACTATTTGAAGGGTCTCCATTCCAGGAAAGAGTGCAACTACTGCACTAGATGTACATGCTCAAAAGCCCTTTGGCCACTGTTGTCATTTGAGATGCGAGTCCAGGATGAGTTCCAGCAGTCTTGAATGGGGAAATGCAATCCCATCCAAGAACAAAGATAGAAAATTATCGTATGTAAGGGGACTCAAATATTGACAGCCTTATAGTCTTGTCAGGATAGAGTCTTAATCTGTTTGCTTCAAGACTCACACAGTCTCCAGACATTGGGGACAAGCTTCAATAGCATCACCTGCTTGGACTAGAATCAATATCTAAAGCAAACCAATGGATATAAACCAATGGGTGATTTACTTCTTTATTTAAAACATTTATATAGACACCTAATATCTAACTCTGGATCACCCGGTAGTTTCATGTAAAAAAGAGGCAAGAGCATTGAGATGTATTGCACTTCNTTTTTTTTTCCTTTTGTGTGAATTGAAAAAAAAATCCTTTTAAAATGACAATGTGATGGCACGAGATGTGTGAAACAATAGCTTCTTTTACTGTAGTTACTATCTGTGAAGTAAGTTACTAGTTCCTTTATCAGACTAAATCAGCAATGCTGATAATGGTAGTGGTGGTAATGGTCAGATTGCAGAAAAACTTCTATATTTTGAAAAAGGTTTTAAACATCAGGTTTATGCCTGTGAATAAATTCTTCACAGGCTATGTGCTTCACCTTATTAAACTGTTAGATGCTTCAACCAATATCTGCTTGTATATTACTTAATAACCTATAAACATTCATATGGTAAATGAAAAATGCCAAATCAGCTTGGACCTCTTTGAAGTTGGGTGGCATTAAAATACCTTAAATAAATCTGTTCACCCACAGTTAGTCAAATTAACATTTGGAGTTAGTTTACATATACTCAGCCTTACTTTTTTTTAATTTAAAGACTTTATTAAGGCTGGTGCAATAATATCTTAAGGCAGGAGCCCAATGCATGCATTGCTTACATATGCATATATCTGCACCCAATCTGCCTACATAGATTGCAATATAAATCTGTATTCAACAGAGATCGTTTGTCTTTTCTATGTTATGTTTATATTTCTATAATTATTTTGGGCACAATCCAGTAGATGTTTAAGCATGTTTAGTTTCATGGATTTCCACTGGACAGATTTATATACAGTTATGTGCTTAAGTTTTCAATTGAAATGGATGGGACATAAATTTTTAATTCATAACTTGGGCTGCTAGTTTATAATCATTTTATTGTATGAGATTTGAGATATGAGATTTGCACCTTAATTAAATTTATTAGCAAATTACTTCCAGCTGTGGATGTGAAAATCTCACTAATCCTTTCTAAATGTCTATGTCACAAGATGATCCTTCTAGTATTTTTATTATGAAGAATCTTATCATTGGTATGTGAATTTTAAATTTGGATATCTGATTTAAATAAAGAAGCAGGCAGAGGGATGCTTAATCTTTCCCTTATATTCTCTTTTGCTTTTCGGGTATGTTTCACAAGGCACACGAATTTTAATTTTTACAGACTGGGAGAAAAATCTACTGAATGCTCTGAGGCGTTCAGATGAAAAAAATACTAAGTTTAGGAAGACGTGTGCACTTCCCATTCTCTGCTTCTAAAAAGCAATATAATAATTTTGCTTTGTTTTTAGTCTTTGCTTAAATAATTTGGATATAATTTTCATCATTGCCTTATAACATCTGCCTTCCGTAACGAGATTAATGCTGTGACTGAAATTTCCTGTTTTTGTTGAGAATTTTAAAGGTGGTAATTCTGGGGATACCAGATTTGGAAGACTGCAGAACACCTGGGAATTCTCATCAAATGGAAACATGAAATCATGAAATTGAGGTGTTTTATTATGATCAGGAAAGGAACGTGGTGGCTCAGTGGCTAAGACACTGAGCTTGTCGATCAGAAAGGTTGGCAGTTCAGTGATTCAAATCCCGCGTAACATTAAGGGAGCTCCCGTTACTTGTCCCAGCTTCTGCCAACCTAGCAGTTCGAAAGCATATAAAAATGCAAGTAGAAAGATAGGACCCACTTTGGTGGAAAGGTAACAGTGTTCCGTGCACCTTTGGTGTTTAGTCATGCTGGCCACATGACCACGGAGACGTCTTCACACAGCGCTGGCTCTTTGGCTTTGAAATGGAGATG